ACGGTCGGGAAGGATATAACCACTTACATCCTTCTAAGAGCTGCAACAAGGGGATTTCTGGATCAGACGCGTCAGGTGCTGACATCATGTCCGCTCGATGGAGAACTAGCCACGCCATTAAATATGTGTACGGCAGTTCGACGCTCGACAATGGAATTTTAGTTGAAGGCTCGGCACCCGTTTTAGTAAAAGTGGTAGATAGGTTACGCAAACCGCTATGGAGGTCAGCGATCATAGTGGAGAGTAAGGATAACCTACCCCCAACAGCTAATTGCACGGCGGGAAGAAGAACCTCAAGAGGAAGCGCCTCGGAAGACTGATGCGGCACTACACATTTCTTTAGCCATATGGCCAGATAACCAGAAAGAAGAGTCGCAGGCTTCATTCTCTTGGTGGCTTGCCATAAGAAAGTGCTGAATTTAGTGCCCTTAAGAAAACCGCCTTCAGATGACTCGGTTCTATAAGATTGGGCATTAATCTTCGTAATCAGCCTGTTAACGTCCGAAGGGGTCAGAATCGGTGATTCGCAGACAGCTTCACCGGTCGGGCTCTCGAGATTCTGAAACAAATAGTCAGCGAACTGTTTTAAACTGACTCGAGCTGCCTTCTTACTCTTTACTTCAATCTTGGCTATCGCTATTTGATAGTGACAAGTTAATTCCCAGAGTATGTCATAAGCAGGAGAGCCAGCCTTCTTCATCTTCATGAGCTGACGATTGTTAGGAAAATATTCTTGATAAGGAGTGTTCCCCAATGGCAGTCCAGATACTTGCATCATTTCGTGGAGCGGAAGCCCTAACTCCCCATACTTGGTAAGAAATGTATTGGCCTCCGGAATATAAGACTCAAACAAAGCAAGGAAATGATCTACGCTGACTGGAAGACCATGCATGCTGGCTCGGATCGGAGCATATAACCCCAAATTCCTTAACTCTTGATCCCAACGATTGAGTACATACTTGGTCATCCTAGCCCACCATTTGTCGGGAAGAGAATGAACCCATCCATAACACCTGAATTTTGGAATGGGGAGTTCTCGACCAACTCGAGCGAGCTTGTTCTTCACCGTGTTGGCCCTTATCATCAGTTCATTCTGGGGCCCGCCATCTGGTCCAAATAGCCCCGGGTGAAGACCACGAATATTATACCTACCTTTGGAACAAGGAGCGCTAATATCTTTACCAATGTATCCGCAATGAACGCGCTCGTGGTCTTCTGTCAAATGCCACGTCATTTCTCTCGAAACAGCCAAATTCCTCAATTGTAGAAGGGAGTAATGTCGAGGGAATGGAGGAAGGAATAGAAAAGAACCTTCATGTTCATTCAACCAAATTTCAGTGCCACGGCAAAGATTGTCTGGATCTTCTATCGAATCTCCAAACAGATAATCAGTCTTCTTCAACGGTTCAGTAGAATCTCGAGTTGGAGTTAAGGGTGAATCAGTCAGCAGAGCGCGCAGGGTACGACGACCTCCCTCACGAACCAACTCTGGAACACTATTATCACGATCTTCACTAAATTGGCGAGCCTCTCTAACCAGAAAGTCGCCGTTGAAAGAGGCATGTCAGAGAAGGCCACAGAGGGAAAGGGGACTGCAATAGAAATTTGGAGAACAGTTGAACGAAAAAGGCTAACGGACAAGTAAACCCACACTAAGTAGCCGCGGTGGTTGTTACCGTCGCGCATTACCGCGGCAACCTATACTGTCGCGCTCAGGCGCGACAGCACGAGCTGCCGCGGTAACTGAACGACAGTTGTCGATGTTGAAAAGCCTCTAGTTCGATAAAAAATCGAATTTTGGCAGGAGTACATATCTTGATTGAACAAGATATGTATTTTGAAGCATCAATCCCCTCGAGGGGGGATATCAACTCTTCCCGAATGCCTCTCAATGGAGACAAACGAGGCTATATGCGCAGAATCAGTAACTTCATATAAAGGGAAGTTGAAGAAATTTACCCCCAAGAGAAGGAATGGCAGCCTCGACCTCCTCAGGTGCTGATGTCGCCGATTTCCCCTTCGAAGCGCGAGTCTTCTTTGGAGACATAGTGAAATCGACCTAAAGAATCAAAAATCAGGTTTCTTTTTGTGAGATCCCAAACAAAAGAGCGAAATCAAACCCTAAAACATGACATAGGGGTACGGTTCTTACCAGGGGAGAATAGAATCAAGTTTGATTGGAGGGAAAACTTGAGATCAAGGAAAACAAAAAAAAACCCTAGATCTTGTTCAAAGAGGAATCGCCCAAATGCTAAGAGATGAAGAGGGGGAAAGCCAGGAAAATCCCTTTATAGGGTTTTGAAGAGGTTTCGAACTCAGAGAGGCGGGGAAAAGTGACCCGAAGAAGCCCAACATCAGATTTATAATCTGACTGGCCGAAGCGCTGCGCGGCACTCGACACTGTCGCGCTCGAGCGCGACAGTCTATGTTGCTGCGCTCAAGCGCGACAGTATAAGCTGCCGCGGCAGCTAACATACCATGGTTCATTCTGGCTTGCAGAAAAACTGTGCATGCACGATAATTCTTCGATGTTTGAACATAGACATCTCCTGCTGTATTTGGAACACATACCCGAACACTCCGATGAGTATATGAGTATAAACTGCATCTCCCTGAACCTCCCAACGGGTATATGAGGTTAAACTGTTTCCCGAACACTCCAATAGAGCATATGAGTATAAACTATTTCTCCATTTTTCAACAACAGTTCTGATTCAAGACTTCGACGACGGGCACGCGATAAACGCAGCACCGGAGGAATCTTAGCTATTCTACAAAGCACTGAATAAGCTAAAAGATAAAGAAGTCAAGAATTGAAGCCATTCACAGATCATTCTACGCAACTTCTTCAACAAAGCACTGGAGAAATTGCAAGGAAAGCTTATCATATCCAAAGTGTCCCAGACTCCTCGCTAAAAGAAATGATGAGTCTGAGATACTTTGGAGGGGGTATCTGTAGGCGTCAAAAAATGCTTACAGACATCCAAATACTAGCTCAAGGCAAAGAGAAGACGATAAACGCCATTTT